GTGGAGGTGGGGGGGGGGGGGTCGTGCCTGGACCCCATTCGAAGGGGGGGGGGGTCGTACTCGTACACACCGACATTTCGCACATCCCCATGCTGTACCCTGAGAGCGATCCAATCGCGCGATTCAAACGAGCGATTCGATCACGCGGTCTTATACAGCGAAGTTCTTGAAGCTTGACGAAACTTGTTTTGAGATGTCCGCCGTTTTTACATGTCCGCCGTTTACACTGACAGCCGGTCACAACCACTGGGGCCGACCTTTATTTCGGAAGAATTTCTGTTACTTGTAATGAACTGAAGAGGTCAGCTCGCGCTCAGCGCGTTGCTTGACCAGATCATGTTCTGTATCATTACCGATGCAACATAAATCATAGAAATGGATCAAAAAATATGGAAATGAGTAGAGAAGAGGTTTTAATCAGTTGAAAGGCCAAGTGTAGGCCGCAACGCAAGAGCGTGTCAATTTCTCCGCTAAAAATTGTACGGGAAGGGCCGAAGGAGGGTAGTGATACCTGGGTGCGGCTCTCCGCCGCCATCTTAAGTGTGCAGCACTTTGTCGATACCAAGATCTCGTAGCGAAGAAGTTAGCGGTAGAGAACAAAAAAAAAGCGGACAAGTAGCGCGTCTGGCTATGGAACAGCGTGTAGCTAGGCAGCGCGAGCGTATTGCTACCTTCCAGCGCCGCTCCTAGATTTTTGGAGCGGAAAAAGTGGCAAGCTACTTCAGCTGGAAACCATTCACCCCGTAAATGGCAAGGGGTAGCGCCTACGAGGTGATTGCATAGTCTCCAGTGCCTGCAAAAAAACATGCTATGGTATATTATCGTACAACGCACATTGCTATTGAATAGAACCCATTATTGGGGATAAGGAGTCGTGTTTGACCATGAGGGGAAATTTTCTGACTGTTGCTCTCTCCTTTTTCACTCGCGTTTCACTCAAAGTTTTGGCGGCGCGGCAAGGCTGCAAGTTTTTTTTTATAGTTCATCGAAGGTCCCTTCCCCATTTTCCTCCTCGACGTGGAATTTTGGAAAAGTGCGTTGGTAGGTTGCGAGTTTCCAGAATTTACTTAGTAAGTATTATATATGCGTAGACAAGAAATCCATACTCGACAAGCGAACTTGATTTGATAGCTATTTTAGGAGACATGTCTTTGAAAGTGGTCAGTCTACAACTTTACGTCAGCGTCGGGGCCGGTATAGCAGGGCTAATGCCGTTTGGACTCCAGAAATTTCGTCTTCGAGCTCATTTTCAAATTGCCTAAGTCACCAAATCCACTAAAAACTTGTATATAGGGGTAATTCAACATCCTGATTACGAGTATGACACTCATTCTTGGCGCTGGCGCCAAGAGAGGACACTACGATTACCTCCTGGGCTCAGCCTTAGCAGAGCGCAGGTAACCGTAGTGTCATCCATTAGCGCCAGCGCCAAAAATGAATGTCATATTCGTGATCAGGATGTTGAATTACCCCTATATACAAGTTTTTAGCGGATTTGGTGATCTTGCCACTTTTAAAATGAGCTCGAAGACGAAATTTCTGGAGTCCAAACGGCGTTAGCCGTATGGCAGTCAGCGGTTTTTGGAGGAAGGAGGAGCTTTTGGGCGGGTGAGCATTTCGCATAGTGAATTCTTTTTACTGACGTTAAGTAGTTCGACCACACTGAGGCTCCCCCCT